CCACTGTGATGTCACCTTTGATCACTTGGGCATTTTCCCCCTTTCTTGCTCAATTCATGGAAATTGAGTCACTAAATTCAGTCCACACTCAAGGGGAGTGACATTAAGCTCCGTCTCCTAGAAACAGGGAGATAAATGAGGGTGAGGGCTCATGCTACAGTCACTGCAATAATTACTATGTTGAGTTACCTAAATATCCTGTTTTTCCTTAAAATTCTGTCCACAAATGTTAGCATTTATCAGTGGTGACAGCAGCGATTACTACTGTAATGTCATAACAATGATTTTCTATTTCCCTTATTCCTTCTACATTTATCCGTTGGAATTTTTTTGTAGTTAAGAGTTGCCCCTTCTTATGAATTTACATATTCAATCATTAATCAAATCCATGTGGACTCCTGGGTATTCATTTTTCCTTTGGGCTTTAAGTCAATAATATTGTAATTTATGTCATTGCTCAGTAACCAACTATCTTATATCGAGGAAAAATACCCTGTAAAAATGAAGTCAAAATACAAGCATTTCAGACACAGGAAAATAGAAAGTGTTCGCTTCCAACCAGGGGCACTGGAAGGCATTCCCAGGGGGCTGCTCTGATGAGGGGCGGCCGTGGCCCACAGAACACAGCACAGAGAGGGGGCGTGGAGGCCTTGGGGGGTAGGGACCACCAGAGTCACAGGACATCAGCGCCACATGACAGGCCTCACGGTTTAGAAGCAGGGGGTTAGCACTCATGGAAACCACAGCAGAAGGTGTAGGAGGGAGATGCATTCATCTTCTGTGGCTGCGTAGAAATCACTGTGAGTTTAGCAGCTTGAGAACACACACCTGCACTCACGGACGGCTTCCGGTGTCAGAAGTCTGGGGGCTCCGCTGGATTTGCTGCTCAGGGTCTCTCGGCCAGAGTCCAGGCGCTGGCCGGCTGGGCTCCGAGCGGGAGGCCTGGGAGAGGACCCGCTACTGAGCCCATTACTGTTGTCGGCAGAATTCAGCTTTTTGCAGTTGTGAACCCAGGGCCCCCTCTCCCTCCTGGCTGTCAGCTGGAGCTTCCGCTCCTGAAGGCCCCACATTCCTCATCATCCTCCCCTTCATCTCCAAGCCAGTGAATCGCTGCAGCACAGGCCGGGGAACGTTCTCTGCCCTCGAAGACCCATGTGCTCAGACTGGGCCCGTCCAGATGATCTCTGTATCATAAGTCCACAACCCTCATTAAAGTCTCTTTTCTACTGTGTAATATGTAACATAACATACTCATGGGGTCTAGGGATTCGAACAAACACATCTTTGGGGGAGGGGGTCATTCTATCTGTCACTGGGAATCATGGAATTAAAGAGTTCAAAGGTCCTGGTGTTGTCTGGGGAGAGGTAAAAAACTAACTTCCATTAGATTCTTAAAAATCAAAGATGCATATTGTAATTTCTGAAGTCACCACTAATAGACCCCTAAAAGAATCTGTAGCAAGCTAGCGAATAGAAGGAGAGTATAAAATAATAGTTAATAAAGCAAAAAAAGAAGATAATAAAGGAGAAGAAAAGGCAGATGGAACAGGAAGAGAAGCCACCTGCAGGATGACCGTGGAAACCCCACATATTTTCAAGATTACATCAGTGGCAAATGAACAAATACTCAAAGTCAAATACTGTCAGCGTTGGTTTAGAAAAGGCAGCAACATCCAGTAACATTCTGCCTATGGAGGATCCATCTACATATACACAGAAAAATGGCAAGTAAAGGAATGCAAAAATACATCATTTAAACACTAAGAAGAAGAAAGCTACTACAGTTGCCGTGATGCAAAGTAGCTGAGAAGCCAGCGATGACCGTGGTTCAGCAGCACGGTCTTGGAGATGGAGTCTCGCTCTGTCACCCAGGCTAGAGTGCAGTGGCGCGATCTCGGCTCAGTGCAACCTCCACCTCCTGGATTCAAGCGATTCTCCTGCCTCAGCCTCCCGAGTAGCTGGGATTAGAGGTGCTCGCCACCACGCCCCACTAATTTTTGTATTTTTAGTAGAGACGAGGTTTCGCCATGTTGGCCAGGCTGGCCTCAAATTCCTGACCTCAGGTGATCCGCCCGCCTCGGCCTCCCAAAGTGCTAGGATTACAGGCGTGAGGCATCGTGCCCGGCCGGGAAGGCCTTTCGATAAGCGGTGCTGTGTGGGTGGGAGGGCTTTTCAGTGAGCCGTGCTGCATGGATGGGATCTCTAACCAGGGGAAATGATCCCGTTCTCACCTCCCATCATTCTGAAGTATCAGTTCCATTATTGCTCTCAAGATAGAATAACAGAGATTTTAGAATGTGACATAAGGAAATATATAATCATGATATTTTACAGAGCCCAGAAGTGTGTATCATAAGGACTACATGAAGTTTAAGGACTTCTGTTATCAAAAGACACTGCAAAGACTGAAAAGCCACACGGTGAGAGGTGCTACAGCACGTGTCATTTCTTAGGGTTCATGGAGGACTTGTGTCGAGAATGTACAAAGAACTCTGAAGAATCACTGAGAATAAAGCGCCTGCCTGGCAGAGGCGTGGACAGACCGAGGCGTGTCGCGATGGGGGGTGTCCGGTGACCACGTGGGAGGGGCCCAACCTCATCCATCGTCCGGGAGGTGCAGACCAAACCCTGAGATGCCGTCCTACCCTAGAGAGGCCAACATTTCAAAGATGGACAGTTCCAGGCGGTGGGCAGAGTGCCACGGCCGGCGTGGAAAACGGTGGCCGGCATCCACTCCTGTCTAACGTTTCTTACCTGGGACCCGGCAGTTCCAGGCCTCAGTGTGTGTTCTGGGCAGGAAGCACCTACTCATGTTCACCCAAAGACGTGAGGTTGTTTACAGCAGCATTATTCCCAACACCCCTGAACTGGAAAGAGCTCAGATGACCGCTGGCAGTGGGGTGGGGGTGGAACATCCACAAAATAGAACTCGGGGTGGCCACGAGACCAGCTCCTGGACGCGCAGCCACATGGCTGCACCTCACACCCTGGAAGCACCTGTCGGGAGGCGCTGTCCTTCCCAGGCTCCTGCAAGTGTGGGGTGGGTACCTGGGATGAAGGGCGTCCTTCGTGCCGTGGCTCACTGCGGGTGTACTGCAGCCCTTCTCCTGGGTCCCTGGCCATGAGGTTCCATCCCCATGGTGCCTCGACGTCCCAGCAGACTCAGCGTCCTTCCCTTCCTTGCTCCACCTCCAAACCTTCCTCCCGCTCTGTGTCCCACAGGCTGCCCGGCAGGAGAGCTACAGGGTGGCCCGTGAGGAGCTGAGGACACACACTGTCCTCCCTGTACAGAATAAGGACAGAATCTCCCTCTTCTCTTTTCTTTAAGGTTTTTCTCTGTCCTTTTCAAATGTATGTAAATCTGCTTTCTAGCTAAGGACGCCTCTGCCCAGGCTCACAACTCAGGAACGTTTGCTTGGGAGGGCAGCACCTCAGAGGAGCGGGCCTCACTTGCCAAACTGCAAACCCCACGGAAGGCACAGGTGCGCAGCGCGCACTCGGCTGTAAGGAGTGAGGTTTCTGTCTCCGCGATGCCTTCAGTGGGCTGCCCCGGCCACACCTCGCATCCTGGCTTACTCGGTAATAGAATTGCTTTTTCTCTTCCACCTTTCTGGAGAGGTTTTCCGGGTTGGAAAATACGTTGTGTTAGATTCTGTTTCCCCAGCAGACCCCTGCCAGGAGATGACAGCCGGGCGGAGAGCGGGCTCGAGGGCCTCTCCTGGGTCCTGGGAGCCGTTCGCTCCAGCCTGGGTACTGTGCCCATCCCAACTGCGTGTGGGTCGCTCTGTGCTAAACTCCCCTCCACTCCCAGGTTGGTGTCTCCCTCAGTCAGGCTCCGACCCGCCCTGGGAAGGAGCGTCTGCCTTGTCAGAGCCAGTTGCCGTGTGGGGGCTGCACTTGCTCCCGGCGGTCAAGGCCACACCAAGTGTCAGGAGTTCCAGGCCCTGCAGCAGCTGAACCTCTTCCCGCCGCTGCCGCACACGCTCTGCTAGACAAGACCTCACTGGCTCACAAGCCACGCCCAGGGGCCGACCACGGGATCCCGGGGACAAGGACTTCGCCATGTGCCTTGTAACTGAGGACACAAACTTTTCTTTCTCTCTCCAAATGCTCTTTGCACAGTGCATGGCGGGTCAGCAATGTAGCCTGGGTTAGCTCTGCCCCGTGTGGGACGGACAGGCCGGGCACAGCCTCCAGGATGCCTGGTCACCCTGCTGAAGCTCCAGGCGACACCCAGCCTTGTCTCCTCAGCCACGCTGGCCATGCCTGGACATTCATCAGACCCTCCCCCTCAGGGACCCCCAGGAGTACCTTCCCCAGGGGTCCTTCACTTCCCCAGCCCTTGTGCAGTCGTCAGGGACCGTACGTGACGGTTATGGAGGAGTGTTCACCGGCAGAGGCAGAGAGGAGAGGAATCTGCAGAGACAGAAGGGGCCAACCCACAGCCCAGCCTTGGCAGCCGGCAGTGGGAGATGAGCTCACGTGTATGTGTATCTGGAATGAGCGGCTGGGGCCGGATGCCCAGGTGCAGAGGTCGGGGAAAGGCTGGTGTGGGAGGCACCATGCTGCACCGGCTGGAAGTGGCCCCCGGAGGCTTCACAGCTGCCTCGGTGGGCATAGGATTCCCACGGAACTGGGACAGGGGCACGGGGCCAGGCTGGTTGCTGGTCTCCAGGGCCAGGAGGACCAGGCCTGGGGGCCCCACCCCACGTCCAGTTGCAGTGAGGGCTGCGTCCCTCCCCCGCCAGCTGGGCCTGAGTCACCTCCGTGGCTGCTCTGTTCCCAGGCCCCACTGACCCGCCAGAGCCTGGAGGGCCGCCAACTGCATGCAACCTCCCTTCTCCAGACTCCAGTTCCTCTCCCCAGCACCTTCTGTTCTCCTTCACCCCACAGGTCCAAGTCTGAACCCCGAGGACCCGCGAGGTGGCCGGGAAGACAGGGCTAGGTGGAGGGGGTTGGACTCTCACTCCTCTGTTTAATTCTGTGTGAACTTTCCACAATGGGCTGGAAACGCATCTGAGCCCATGTTGACCTCTGGGCAACCCTTGGCCTGAGGGTCCTTCGCTGCCAGAAGGAAGTTGTGCCACCGCCACCCCCGTAGGGCTGTCCCCCTCACCGGGCCACCCAGCGGGGGCACCTCCCTGGCAGCAGCTCACACACCTCCTCTCATACGTGCCAATACTGCAGCCTCGCATCTCAGAGGGGCCGAGCGCACACCACCACCTGCCCCGATGCTGACCCGGAGGCCCCAGGAGTGGCCCAGGCAGAGAGGACTTGAACTGAGTCCCGTGCAGCCCCCTTGCCCCAGAGACCCTTCCTTCAGTGATTCTTTTTTTTAGATGGAGTCTTGCTGTTGTCACCCAGGCTGGAGTGCAATGGCACGATCTCGGCTCACTGCAACCTCCGCCTCCCGGGTTCAAGTGATTCTCCTGCCTCAGCTTCCTGAGTAGCTGGGATTACAGGTGCCCGCCGCCACGCCCAGCTAATTTTTGTATTTTTTCAGTAGAGATGGGGTTTCGCCACGTTGGCCAGGCTGGTCTCGAACTCCTGACCTCGTGATCCGCCCGCCTTGGCCTCCCAAAGTGCTGCGATTACAGGCGTGAGCCACCGTGCCCAGCCCCTTCAGTGTTTCTTCTATAGCCAAGCTGCTGGTGCCGGGGAAACCAAGGCGCCTGGAACCCTGATTTCTGACGTGAGGGATAGAACTCCTGATGTCCTAGGAAGACACGGGCTCGAGGGAGCCGACAGCGCCTGGTTTACGAAGACACAGGCTCATGAGTGCGGACACCGCCTGGTTTATAGAGGAATGTCATGAGGAATGTGGTGAGGAATGTCACATTCCCGCACCTCCTTGGGCTCTGAACTCTGAGAATCTGTGAAAATCCCCCAAAGGCCATTCAAGATAAAAGGAACTGAAAAGGCCACCCCCTCCCAGTCCCCATCACATCAAAGCACAGATGGGAATTAGATTCCAGGCCAGCAGACGGTGGGAGGTCCTCCTCTCTCCACCCCGTGCTCAGAGGTACTTTGTGGGTCCAGTGACAACTGGCTGGTTCCACTGTAGCCCCTGACAGCCACACCTGGAGTCAGATGCACAAGTCACAGCTGCCTTTGGCTCCTGCCATTAGTCCCTCAGGGCCCCTTTCAGAGCAATCCAGTCTCTCCTGGAGGAACTCCTGGTGTCTTCTGGGTGAACACCTCCAGGGATGAATTCCGGGTTTCTCTCCTCTCAGGGGTCCCCGCCCTGGGGCCTCTCCAGGCTTCTCTGCAACTCAAACAGGGTTTCTCCTGGGGAGTGAGAGCTGGGCCCACACCTTGCCTCTTCCCCTCCCAAGGCCTGGTGCAAACCGTGTGCTCCTCCAGGACTGGGAACCCAGAAATCCTTTCAGTGCGGCTGGCTCTGGCAGACCAAGGATTGGCCACTCACTATGGCGCGGCGACACTGTGCCAGTCAGGCTCCTCGGGCTTGACAGGGAGGACCTAGGTTGAAGGAGGCCCCCTTTGCTCCAGCCGGGACCTGGCCCAACTCCAGAGGCCGCAGCCTCAGCCTCCAGGGGCAGAGGTCTGTGGGGTGCCAGAAATCGCCTGGCAGCATTACGCATCCGGCACTCCTGGGACCCCAGAGAGTAGGAGGGGAGGGAGGGCAACAGTGCGGCCCTGCTGTGGGGATGCTGGCAAGCCCCCTCCGCTCTTCCCACCCACAGCCTCGTCCTCCACCATCCCGTCTCCAGGCTTCTGGAATCAGCTGGCTGGGATCGCTGCCTCGTGTTTTCAGGAGAAAAAGCAAACCTGACCATTCACAGACAGGGCAAGTCAGCCTCGTCCGGCCCCGCGTCCCGGTCGGGGAATTCCAGTCCACGCTGGCTCCACCCGGCCCAATCTCTTAGGGCAGCACCCACAGGATCACAGCTTCTCCGAGAGGCAAAGCTCAGCTTCAAGGGGGGAGCTCTGGAAGAACAGTTTCCTGGGTCCCAGGCCCTACCCCTTTTTCAAACACCGCTTTGCTCTCTGATGCAGCTCCAGCCCCCGCCCCTGGCGACTCCCCCTGGCCTCCTGGTGCTTGCCCCAGGCCCTGGCCCGGGCTGAGCTCACAGGCTTCCCTGCCCCATCTCAGGCGCCTCTCCCCATCCTCTCCTCTACCCCGAAGCCGGGCCCGGCCCAGCGGCCCCGGGAGGGACTGCCGCGACACGTCTCACTGGTCGCTCGTGGAAGCAGGCTGGGTGATTTTGCCGGCCGTCCCCGTGTGTTCAAGGGACTGTCATGGACTCCACAGACAGTGGGAAAGCGCTCCCAGCAGCCACTGGGAACTTGGCCGCCTGCACCCCATTGTCCACGTTCCGGCCCCACTTCCTTTGGTCGTGAACCAGCAGAAGTTGCTGAGGTCTGTTTCCCCCATCAGGGTTCAAATGACCTGGGTGAGTCATATTGCGGCCACTTCCTTTGGGAGACACTCACCAAATATCCACAATTTTACTCCCGGCAGCCAAGAAATTTCCATCTGTTCAGAACATACAATTAAAAATACATCCAAAGTGAAAGGAACTTATGACTCAGCAGGGCCCCGAGAGTGACTCACCGGCCGGGAGCCATCGGCCCGTGTTTCTGGCCCCGCATTCCTTTCTCATTGACTCAGCAAACACTCGTCAAGCTCCTACTGTGTGTCAGGCACCACGCAGAGCTCACACCAATGACCAGAGGCCCAGTATCCACACTCAGGAGCGCCCAGTCTGGCGAGAGAAGGAGCTGTGGTCACAGCACAACCCAGGCTGTGGCTGGGTCAGGGCTGGCTGTGGAGAGTGGGTGACGCCCCCGGCCATGGCACGAAGGACGCCCTTCATCCCAGGTACCCACCCCACGCTTGCAGGAGCCTGGGAAGGACAGCGCCTCCCGACAGGTGCTTCCCGGGTGTGAGGTGCAGCCACGTGGCTGCGCGTCCAGGAGCTGATCTCGTGGCCGCCCCGAGTTCTATTTTGTGGATGTTCCACCCCCACCCCACTGCCAGCGGTCATCTGAGCTCTTTCCAGTTCAGGGGTGTTGGGAATAATGCTGCTGTAAACAACCTCACGTCTTTGGGTGAACATGAGTAGGTGCTTCCTGCCCAGAACACACACTGAGGCCTGGAACTGCCGGGTCCCAGGTAAGAAACGTTAGACAGGAGTGGATGCCAGCCACCGTTTTCCACGCCGGCCGTGGCACTCTGCCCACCGCCTGGAACTGTCCATCTTTGAAATGTTGGCCTCTCTAGGGTAGGACGGCGTCTCAGGGTTTGGTCTGCACCTCCCGGACGATGGGTGAGGTTGGGCCCCTCCCACGTGGTCACCGGACACCCCCCATCTCGACACGCCTCGGTCTGTCCACGCCTCTGCCAGGCAGGCGCTTTATTCTCGGTGATTCTTCAGAGTTCTTCGTACATTCTCGACACAAGCCCTCCATGAACCCTAAGAAATGACACGTGCTGTGGCGCCTCTCACCGTGTGGCTGAAGTTCTGTCTTCACAGTGTTTTTGTGAGGAGGCTGTGGAGACGGAGGTCTTTCCCTGACTCTGTTCCTGCTGGGAAAAAGGACTCACGGGGCTTCTCTATGACAGACCAGGTGCCCGCAGAATCCACACTCCACAGACCAGTGTCCCCAAGTCACAGCCCTGGGTGTGGGAGAGTTGTCACCGAACCTAGGAACAGAGCCGTCCAGCAGGCGCCGCCGACTCAGGCCGGGAGGGTGACGCTGGGCCCCACGGAGGGGCGTTGGGAAGCGCCCACTCGCCCTGGGGGGTTCCGTGGGGCTCAGCCTCTCCTGCTCAAAGTCCAGACCTGATTTCCGCGCTCAGGGCACAATGCACTTTGGGATGAGAGAGTGGCCTTTTGTGGGCCCTGGGGGCCCTTGTTGGTGGGACTGCCCACCCCTCCTGGGGCCCCTGTAGTGATTTTCAAAAGAAAATAAAGCACTACTGAGGGTTTCTCAGAGTTTAAAAGCAACGCAAACCTGACTGTGTGCCCGGCAGCCAAGAAGAGGCCCAGACGTCTGAGATCAGCCGGGATCATTAAGGACAAAGATGCTCAAAGGAATTTGATGGAGAAAACCCCACGGAGTCCGTCAGAAATCCCGGCTCTCAGCGAGCAGCTGACGCTTGAGGGTGTTCACGGCGGTCACTGCTGGGTCCTGGGCGCACCGGCAGGGCTGTGTCCCGGGGTCCCAGCGCCCCTGCGGGAAGGGCCCGCCGGCAGCTCTTTCCTGCTGACCTCTCTCTCCCCGCTGGCGAGGTCGGGTTCCTTCTCTCTTCTGCTCACAGGGAGGGGTCCCCGCTGCACCCTTGCTCTGTCCCCAAAGTCCTGATGCCACCCCAAAGGCGCTGGCGTGAGAGGGGTGGTACGTCCTGGGTCTGGGGACGGGTGGCGCGTGGCTGGATGCAGGTGGGGGCCTGGGCAGAGCTTGGGGCCAGGTGATCAGGGAGGTGGGCGGGTGCTTCGCAGACCTCCTCACCCTGCTGCTAAGGGAAGGAGGCCCAGCCCCACTCTTATGTCCCCGGGTAGGAGTACGGGAGAAGCACATGATGAACGTAAAGTCACAGCTCAGAGGTGACGCTGGGTTGAAAGCAACATTTTCAGATAAAATCTGTTGAAATTCAGACAGGCAGGACAGCGGGGAGCTGGCCTAGGACCCGAAACCCAAACCTTGCAGGGCAGGGAGCTCACCAAGGCCATGCCAGGCAGGGTGACTCAGGCACCCCCTTCCCCTCCTGCCAAGACCCTTGAGTTTCACTAAGAGCCCCCTTGCTGCCAGCGTGCCCCTGCGGGGGCCCTTCCCGCACGACCAGGCAGTCGGGCCTCTGGGTCAGCCTTCTCGGCCAGATGACTTGCAGGTGACCAGGGCTGTGGGGGGCAGCTGAGGCAGCAGGGAGGGAGGTCACTGGGGACCCCGCTGGGTCCTCAGGTGGTTGGCTCAGCCAGAGGCACCATGGCTGCCTGGAGATGGTGGAGCTGGGAACAGGGGCTGGGCGGGGGTCAGGCTGAGCTCACAGCGATCTTCGCTTATCAACGGGGGAGAGGTTTTCCGCAGGGAGACTCAGGACTGCGAGTGGGGCTTGGATTTTTGGGATTCCAGCCTGGGAGGGTGGCTTCTTGTGAGTCCTGGGCCATTCCTTGGGCAGCCCACATGCCCCATTTTATGAGGCCGCTAAGACATCTGGACTCTGTCCCGTGGCTGCTGGAGGCATCTGCCTGCCTCTTCCGTCTCTGGGACAAGAGGGGGTTGGGGTAGCAGCCTGCCCAGTCTCTAATAGCAGGAAGGGTCCCCAGGGTACCCTCCCCTCAGCCTCCAGGAGTAAGTGCCTCAGCTTCCCCTCCTCCCTACCCTGGGGCCTCGAGGTGGGGCCCCCAAGATTGTTTTCGGCTCAGCCCTCTCACAGAGCATCAGGCTGATCTTAGCAATGGTTTCTGGCCCCCGTGAGGCTGCAGTACCCCAGGCCCTTCACCCTGCCCCAGGCACATACGAGGACCCAGCCTTGGCCCCTAATGGAAGCCCCCAAGCCGGCCCAGCGTCCTCACCAGCTGCCCAGCTCTGCCCTCTGCCCCAGCCCCCGACACTCTTCCCTTCATAGATGTAACACTTTCTCTTCCTGTCTGTGCAATTTTTTTAACTTAAAAATTTTTGTGACATTTCTCCCTTTGTGGAACCTTTTCAATTCCCCTGAAATGTTCTGCTTCAATGACTGTGTGAGTTCCCTGTGGCTGCTGTGACAAATGACCACAACAACACAGATTCGGCTGGCACAGTGGCTCACGCCTGTAATCCCAGCACTTCGGGAGGCCGAGGCGGGTGGATCACCTGAGGTCAGGAGTTTGAGACCAGCCTGGCCAACATGGTGAAACCTCATATCTACTAAAAATACAAAAATTAACCAGGTGTGGTGGTGGGTGCCTGTAGTCCCAGCTAGTGGGAGGCTGAGGCAGGAGAATTGCTTAAATCTGGGAGGTGGAGGTTGCAGTGACCTGAGATCATACCATTGCACTCCAGCCTGAGTGACAGAGCAAGACTCCGTCTCAAAAAAAAAAAAAAAAGATTCATGATCTCGTGGCTCTGCAGGAGTCACTCAGGGTGGGCAGGGCCGGCTCCTCCCGGCCCCCAGGAGAATTGCTCTCCTGCCTTTCCTTGCCTGCAGTCCCTGCTGCGGTCCTGTGCCTCGCCACTGGCCCTCCTGCCTCCCTGGATAAGGGCCCTAAAGATTACCAGCAGATAACCAGAGGACCTCCCCTCCCGTGTCAGAGTGCCTGGTCTTCATCACAGCGACCACGTCCACTCTGCCCAGAGCCACACATTCCTGGGAGGGAGCTGGGCGTGATCACTGCAAAGACCGAGTTCACCGTGCCCAGAGCCACACATTCCTAGGAGGGAGCTGGGCGTGGAGGTTTTATGGGACGAGCATTCTGCTTAACACGATGTGCTGATAAAACCTCATTGTGTCTGGGGAAGATTTTGGTGGGGGCTGCTTTCCCCCTTCACCCTCCCTGAAGGCCTGGGCCTTGTCTCTTGTTCTGAGATGCTCATGTTTCTCTCTGGGCGGGGGAGGGCAGCAGGGCCCGGGGGAAAGGAGAGTGGGGGCCGCACCTGAGTTATCAGACTGCACTGATGAGGACGAGGACAGGGACCTGTGTCCGAGGGGGTGGGGACAGTGGTGAGTGGACACTGTGAGGCTTCCTGGACACCAAGACGACCCGCACGATCCGCCTGCCCAGAGCCGCCTCCTCAGTTCCCACGTAACGAATTCGGGGATGGCTGGGTCTGGTCTAAGCAGTGAACGATCGCTGGTCCTGGTTGGACGTCCCTGGGGTGTGGATGGCAAGAGGGCAAAGCCACACTTGCCTGTCCTGGTGAACCTCAGAACAAGCCTTCGCTTTGAGGCCCTGGGGGGTTCTCTGGGGACCGTATCCAGGAGGAGGGAGCGCCCTCTGCACAGGCTGGCGGCTTCCGGCTTTCAGGGTCTCCCGGAGGAATCGCCTCCCCAGCAGGACCTCCCAGTCCCACCTAGAGCAGCCTCCATCCCCTCCCTCTCAGGCCTGTGCCGGCCGTCACGATGCTCTTGCCTCCTTCTCACCTGCACGGAAGGAAGGCCCAAGACGGCAGTGGGGCCCGTCCTGTTTCCCTGCCCCGAGGCCTTACCCGGTGCCCATGAGGATGCAGGGATGGTCGGGGATGTGGGGCTTCCCGCCCTCCAAGTGCCTAAAGCTCACACTGCAGTTTAAAGGCTCACTTGTATTTGGCCACACACATTGCAAACCGCCTATGCTAACGCTCGCGTGTGCCTGAAATTGCAAATAGGACGTCTTTTGTTCCATTGCATTTTCTGGCTGGTGTACATGAGGGAGTGGGAGGTATAGCCCCTTGCAGGACTCCTGGGACTGCACTGGGGAGAGCCAGAGGAGGCATTAAACGCTGAGCTGAGGAAGGCATCTCCTTGGTGCCTTGACCCCTGGTAAGGTTCAGTGGGGTTGGCCCTGCCCTTGGCTGCTTCCTGTGCAGGGGCAACCTACACACGGACCCCACT